CCCATGTGACAAATGTAATCAAAGGATCAAAGATAAGATGGAGTCTGTGTTTGTAGCACATTCATATGGTAATGTGGCCTGTTACAATCACAAGAATTTTCTGGACATCTGTGTTAAAAATAGGAAAATGTATTGGGTAGGAAAAAATCTGGGATTTAAGGGACGAGCTCCTTATCCTCATAATGATCAAATCTGTCCTCAATATGAAAAATTCTTCTGTTTTGAGAAAGACAAAAATGAGAATGAGCCAAATATAAATATAGCATTAAAAGAGAAAAAAGAAATAGAGAAAAGTGTGAAAAAGATTCCAGAGAAAGAATTAGAAGAATTGAATCAATTGTATAAACAATTAAAAGAACAATATAGCGACTGGGATTTGCCAACTACAACTAAAACCCTTTTTGTAGATTTGATGCAAGAGATTGCTACAGAACTAGGATTATCCAAATGCTGGGTTTGTGGGGGGCTCAGGATGGCTGAGAGGTGGCCATGGAGAGGTGAGAGTTCAGCTCCAGAGCAATTTTTAAAATGGAACCATACTCAAATCTGCGAGACATTAAAACAACCTGGAGGATGGATTTTGAGTCACCAAGTAATTGGGACAGTTTGTATAACTCGAGAAGGAAAGAAATACAATGAAGTGGTAGAATATACCCCTTGTACATCTACCCTAGGAGCAAATTCAGAGAACAATACAAAAACCTGGCAACCAAAAACTCCTGCTGGATACTGGGGAATAATGAAAGAAACTAATTGTGAGTGGGATAACCATATTGATTTGTGTCGGTATAAAAGTCCTGGAGCCAACCCTTACCAATCCATCAGTAACCTAAAATTTTATTGGGAACAACCAGGTACAACAAGTAACAAAGGGAAAGCCCCTGATGGAATATATTGGATTTGTGGACAAAGAACATAGAGTGAATTACCCCAAAAGTGGAAAGGAACTTGTACCTTAGGAATTATACAGCCCTCCTTCTTTGATATACTGAGGTCCCGGACTAATATGTTAGGAACACCACTTTACAAAACACTAGAAAGGAATAAAAGGGACTTGAACTTTTGAAACACTGGAAATATTTATTATATTTTTTCTATATAACTAAAATATAATTATTTAATAAACCTACTATATATATATATTTAATAATTATATTACTAAATGTTTTCACTACCAAATTTTATATTTCCATAAAAGAATTCATAACTTTTTAGCAACTAAACAATTATTGCTCATTGGTTCTAAGTAACAAAATTCTCTTCGATAATGAATTGACCACTATTTCTCCCACTTTATGCTAATTAGTCCAATTTTTATTTCTTTGGGGTCTATGGAGACATTTCTGGGGCACATTCGGGGCAGTTTTGGGTCAGGGGAGGGAATTCAGAGAGAACTTCAGGGTCTGGAGGACGCTTGGGGGAGCCGGGTGAGCACTGGGAGGGGCACTTAGGGATTCTGTGGGACGATTCGGGGTCCGGGGCAGCACCTGGGGGTCCAGGGGGGCACTTGGAGGTCAGGGAGGGGATTCTGTGGGACGATTCGGGGTCCGGGCGGGCACTTGGGGGGCTCTACCAGGGCTCTCTGGGCCGCGGGGGATGATGGGAGTTGTAGGCGCGGGTATAATACGGTGTAACGGCACCGCGGAGCATCACGGGCGTTCCAGGCACAGCTCCAATGGCTCTCGGTGGGGCGCGGGGCATGACGGGAGGTGGAGTCACAGCTGGAATAGCGCTCTATGTACGCCGCGGAGCATGATGGGAGCTGTAGTCCCAGGAGTGGCTCGGAAGGGGCCCATGGGGGTCCGGGAAGGCCCTTGGGGGACACTTTTGTGTCCGAGCCGTGGCTGGAGGTCCTCGGGGGGAACGTGTACGGCTCGGGAGCACTTGGAGTGAGCCTCGGGAGCTCTAAGCGGGCTCTTTACGGCGCGGGGCACGGCAGGTATTTTGGGGGAGGGTCGCGGCAGTAATTTTAGTCTCGGGACTGTGTTCTGAGGGGCTGAGGCCGCGAGGAATGACAGGAGATGAATTCCCAGAAGTGGCTGTAACGGACATCTGTGGGGTCGGGAGCATTCAGGGGATCCGGGGACGCTTTGGGGGTCCCGAATGGGCGCTGAGGGGGCACTCAGGGATCCTGGAGGGTCTGGGGGACACTTACGGGACAGATGGGGGCGATCCCGGGGTTCTGTGGAGCGCGGGGCATGACGGGAGTGAGAGGCAAAAAGGAAAAATGGCGCCGACTGTCGGCCCCGCCCCCGAGTCCCTGATGCTCGGTGCTGATTGGCTGAGGGCGCTGATTGGCGGGATCTATGGCCAATGGGTGATGGCAGAGGCGGGAACAGCACATTCAACTCTTCCAGTTCCTCCCAATACAGCCCAGTTCATCCCCAGTACAGCCCAGTACAACCCCAGTGCCCCTGTTGGCCCTTCCAGTACAGCCCAGTTCATCCCTAGTACAGCCCTGTTCAACCCCAGTGCTCCTCCAGACCCTCCCAATAGAGCCCAGTCCCTCCCAATACACCTGAGTTCATTCCCATTCCTTTCCAGTTCCCCCCAGCGTCATCCATACAACACCCCAGTGTCCCCCAGTTTTCCCCACAGTGTTCCCAGTGTCCCCAGTATGTCCCAGTATCCCCCAGTGTCACGCCCAGTGTGTCCTGGTCTGTCCCAGTATGTCTCAGTGTACCCCCAAGTCCATCCCAACCCACCCTGGTTCCCCCTCAGCATTCCTCGTGTTCCCAGCTTGTCCCAGTCCTCCCCAGTATCACTCCCAGTATGTCCCAGTGTCTCCCACAGCATTCCCAGTGTTCCCCAGTATGTCCCAGTTCTCCCCACTGTTTGCAAGGAAACTTGAACTTCTCCCAGTTGCCATGGAACCCAAACCCAGCAGTGGGGTCAGTGCAGTGTCCATGGCCACAGCCCCTTGCAGTGGGCCATGAAATAAATTGGGCAGGACTAGAGGTCCTTTTTAATGTTTTTAATACAAGAATCAGCTTGGGTGGAGGCCCGAGGGGTCACACACACCGCCACTGCTCCCAGATTCCACGCAGTGAAGGAGGAAGTTGACTTTGCCACACGGCAGAGTCAGAGCTTCCGTCCTCACAGGAGTCCGCAGGAATGCTCGTCTTCTTCGGCTCAGAGTCTGGGATGTCACCCTGGTCGAGTTCCCCCTTGGTGCTGTCAGCTTTTGGGAGGAAGTCAGGGGACTCCTCTGGGTCTTCCTCATTCGGTGGTGCTGTCTTGATTTCTTCTTTTTAGTGTGGCTCGTTGTTTCCGGAGTCTTATTAGTCTGTGTGCATCCTGTGTGTCTCTGGTCTCTCTCATTTACGTCCAGGCCCTTGTGTCATCCTCCTCCTCAGGGCTGGGGACGCCATTCTGGGGAGCAGTGGCGGTGATCTCCCGACGGGACAGGGACATGACAGCAAAGGGTAAGTACAGCTAATACATAACAAGAAAAGAGTTAATAACCTGAACTTGGGATAAACAACGAAACAATTGAACTGGATTAAAACAAAGCGCTAACCAAGGTTTAACACTTGCATCTGGGTTCTCAAAATTGTTTCTTACAATACCCCCCCTCTTAGGTTTTGATCAGACTTGAATCTGCATCAATCTGCAGTCTCTGGCTCTTGCAAATGTAATTTTGCAACTTCTGATATTTGTTATAGATTTCTTTTTCACTTTCATGGTCTTCTATTTTCTATTAATAGATTTCTATTGCGCTTCATGGCGTTCTATTTTCATAATTTTCTGTTGGGCCAGTAGTGGGGTTACTTGGGCTGAGGCACTTATTTGAGTTATATAGGTAATTATTCAAACCAGACAAGGGAGTATACATGGTAAGAATGTCAATCCTGCTAATGCACATACCGTAATAAATGCCGCTTTTTTCCACCATTGCCCTTTCATTGACCAGAACTCATCCCACCAACTGGTGTTTATTAAAGGTGTCCACTCTTGTGTTCCCACATATGCTATTTTACGAATTTCCTTTGAAATATTTCTGATCACTTCACTTCTGTCATTTATTTCTAGGCAGCACTCTGAAAAATTAAATTTCCCGCAGATTCCTCCCTCGTCTGCCAATAAGTAATCTCCAGCCAGCCTAATTTGGTGTATGACTGACCTTGTTTGGGATAATTGATCACTGATGTGATCAAGGGCGATGGCGGTTCGATTGGATATTATTTCTAATACGGCTTGAAGTCGAATGATGCAATTTAACATATAAATTGGGGTGCAGTATCCCCAGGACCCATCTTGGGCCCAAGTAGCTGGCCCATACATTTTAATTATTTCTTCAGGGGTCTGTATCTTTCCCTTCCATTTTTGGTCACCCCTACTTCAACAGTATCTCTTTTTCTTCTCTGGGATTTCCTCAAATCATCATATATAGGTACTCCTAAAGTGGATCCAGCTTCTTTCAGGAGCAGGAAGAAAGCAGGTTTAACAACCCCTATTGTGCAGCTCCCTGCCCAATCTTCAGGTAATTTGGTATATGCTTTGTCACCACAAATCCAAAATAGATTCTCGGGGGCTTCCCAGAAGTTGTTGCTTGTTGTAAATGGAAATTCCCAATACTTAGACATTTCCCTTATTCGCCAAAAGGGGTTTATTCCATTCTCAGCACAATCATGCAACCCATAATCCTCATGATAGATACATACCTTCTCCTTCTTTCCAATGGACCAATACCTGTTTGGTTCTCAGGGGACCCATTTAGTGTTTGTATCTTTAATTATTAAATACCTTTTGCACGCCATCTATTCCAGCTTAGGGTCTTATACATTTTTCCTTTTCTTGTAATGCATTCTTCCTCAATTATTTTTGACTTTAGGTTCCATTGTTCCTTCCCCCTTGTTTTCACAATTCCTGATTCTTGTTTGGTCTGTTTACACCTTAGGATTTCTAAGGGGCTTAGACTGGTCCCTTCCCAGGGCCAAATTTCTGACATTTGAGTGCTCCCACACACCCAACAGTCTTTTAGATTTAATTTTTTGCTGATTCTTTCTACTAGGTCGATAAATAAATTCTTCCCAGTAGATATTTCTAAATTGTCTTTAAGTTCACCTGTAACTTTTATCTCCCTTTCTTTTACTAGGTCTTTGATTAGTTTCTCGCTCAAAGCAGAGCCAGGTATCTCCAGCAGGGCATTCTCCAAGTAAACATTGCCTATAAGAGGCAGTATTTTGGGCCATCCAATAAACTTTTCCCTCTTCCTGACAGGTAGTCAGCTGAGAAGGATCTATGCAGCTCAGGTTTATGTCAGTGTGGACCCTTAGCGGTGACACCAAGTCTTCCCCATCATATAGGGGATGATAACATTTGGTGCAGGGGCTTGCCCCATTACTCACGGTGCTTCTGAAGAGCACAAAAATCACATATCCTCCTAGGAGTCTGGTATGGGCCATCACCTTGATCAGTCCACCCAGTCTTGCCTCCTAGTAACAGGGAGACTGTGAGGTCCCAGGTCTTTGAGCTAACTCCTTCTCTATTTCACCCTGTGGAATAATTCCTACTCCTAGCTGAACCTGTAGGTCTCTTCCCAGTAGATTATTCTCTAGGTTGGGTAGATAGATAAAATCTGCCCAGCATTGCTTAAAATTCCCTTTTATTTCAATATTCTCAGTCACTGAAGCTTTAAACGGCTTCCCTTCCGCACCTAGCACCTCACATACTCTTTTTCCAATAGAGACTCCTAATGGTAATTTGTTAATTGTTGATTTGTCTGCACCTGTGTCTACAAGGAATTCAAATTTCTTGCTTTGGGGACCCACCTCAAAAGTTTACTACGAGCTCTTCTTGATGGTTTGTTGGGTCCCTCATCACATAGGGCCCTTGACACCCCTAATCATCTCCTCTTAAAATCTTTCTTAAGGTATCTTGCTCCCTTGCAATCACTCCATCAGTATGCATCTTCTTACAGTTCCTCCTTACATGACCTGTTTCCCCACAATAATAACACTTTCTATTGTCCAGAGTTGTTCTTTCTAACCCATCCACCTCCTTGCTCCTTTTAGGTGTTCCTTGTCTGCTCCCTTTTGGCTTGTTTGCCAGGGCTGGTTTATCTGCCCCCACACTTTCTCTTGCTACTGCCACCATGATTCTCGCCTTTGCTTTCGTTTTCTCCTCTTCCTTTCTTAAATAAACTTCTAGATCCTCTTTTAATAGGTCATTTATACTTTTTTCTTGCCAATCTTCTAATTTTTCTAATTTCCTCCTAATATCTGGCCATGATTTCTTCTAATTTCCTCCTAATATCTGGCCATGATTTCATTACAAATTGAACTTTTAAAAGCACTTGGCCCTTCTAAGCTGTCAGGGTCAATATTGGAGTATAATTGAAAGTTCCATTTTAGTCTGTTTAGCCAAGCTGCCAGAGACTCATCTTTTTCTTGGGTGCCATCAAACCCCAGTTTGGTATTACTACCCTGGGGGACAGACTCTCTTATTCCTCTGATTATTAAGAGTCTGTAATCTTCCATACTTCTTTGGCCCTC